GGATACCACCAGCCAAAAGGCCACCAAAAGTGTCACAGAAGATTTCTTCGCGTGGTGGGTTCTCAGGGAATCGTGGAGGACGAGGAGCTTTTCACAGTCAAAACAGGTTCTTTACACCACCTGCTTCAAAAGGTATGCTGGTTTCTGTATTAGAACTGGAGTAAATGTATGCTAAAATTGCTTCAGTAATACTAACCCAATTTCCTAGCAGTTCATCATCCCCAATGTGAGATCTTCCTGAAGCAGTGTTGTTGAAATGAGTTGTTTATTACTACCAGGAAAGGTTCTCTTGAAGGTGAGAACCTTAAAAGCTCTGCAATTGAAATAAGGCTGTGAATTCCCATGCTGCCTCTTTTCCTCTCTTTTACAAAAGTAGTCTGCTGTTCTAGCAACTGTTGGAGTGCTTCCCTGCCTTTTGTGTCATGGTAGTTCCTGCAATCAAGCACCACAGTACATCTCTGGGTTTAAATGAGGCTTTGGAATAAAAGGATGGAAGATCCTGACAATAAGATGAAATTTTCAGGGCACCTGGAGATTGTAGCTACAGAATGTTATGTTTCTTTCATATGTAGACAAGATTGCATTCCTTTCCCTTCCATCCCATAATTAGGGCCAGTCCTTGCAAAGAAGAAACAGAAAATACTTCCATTTATAAAGTTATAATTGCCAGGATTTACTGCACCACAAAATCTGAAAGTATGAGTCTGTTTAATATACTAGATAATGTGAATTCTTTTGAATTTGAGTCTTTGCCTGATAAATAGAACTGTTCTCCAGATTCTGTGCAGAATACAGTAACTTCCAGACTTCAGTTTGGAATACTGAGGGTATGTTTATCTGTTTGAATTGTGTAAATACTRTCTTACTACCCTGAGTATTGTGAAGATTGAAATGGAAAAAAACCCCAAACCCAGTGATGTTTGCTCAATAGTGTGTTGGTTTTTCTTTCCCAATCTAGGAAATTACAGTCGTCGTGAAGGCGCTCGAGGCTCAAGTTGGAGTGCACAGAGTACGCCCAGGGGAACCTACAATGACAGTAGAGGTGGTCAAAGCAATTTTAACAGGGGTCCACTGCCACCACTGAGACCATTAAGTTCAGCAGGTACATGGTATTCATATGGGCATCGAACTATAGAGAATTCCTTGAATTTCATTTTTGCTTTACAAATGAAACCATGCAAGGATGCTGCAGACACCTTGAAATTCAGCAAATGTTTTAAGCATATATGAACAGTTGTCACTGAGACTGTGTCAAATCCGTGCTTTCGTACGACCTGCCCTGTAACCCATAAAACTTGCTGAATTGAACACTTGATCGCAGAATCTTAATTTTGCACTCAGACTTTTGTCATTCAGTTGTCTTCGTACCTCCATGGTAATCATAGCGCAATTAAAGCAGCAATGCTTGCCTAAAAGAAAAGTGAAAATTAGAAGGAGGAAGCAGACGCTGTTTGTATCTCATCCTGTTTTTGTTTCTCACGCTTTCGCAGCAGCTACTCCGCCTAGGGCTTTTTTTTTTTTTTTTTTTTTCCAACTGAGTATACTTTTCTTTGCTTTAAGGCTACCGACCGAGTCCTCGCGATCGTGCGTCCAGAGGCCGCGGAGGAATTGGACCGTCTTGGACAAGTGCTAATAGTAGTAGCAGTGGTGGCTCAAGAGGAAAGTTTGTTAGTGGAGGCAGTGGAAGAGGTCGTCATGTACGTTCCTTCACACGATAAAATAAGACCTAATGGTGGAACAGCTCAACCTTGTGGACTTCTGTGAAGATGACAAAGAAAGCAGCGTCACTAAAGGACCAATTCAAAGTTTCTGGTATCTGGAGGACATCAAGAGAATATTTTTGTCTGAAGAAAAAGCTTTTGTTTCATACAAGACTTGAAATTTCAATAAAATTCAAGACTTTTYGTGTACAATTGTAAATTTTTTGTTCTTTTTGAAAGAATGTTTCAATTTTTTTGTGGATTTCAGTAGACATTACTCAGTAAAGCACCTCTTTGAGTTAAGACTTGAAGGACTTCCTAAGTATTCATTGTGCCAAAAGAAAGGTGCAAGTGTTTTGTGTGTGACTTATTACTGCAAGAAAATTAAAAAATATGTATGTAAGGTAATATGTTTGTTTTTTTCTCTCAGGTTTAGAGCCATTAGCCCTTTTTTTCCTTTGTTTTTTTGGTTAGCCAGTCTGGGTTATTAATGAATGAGGTGTATCTGCCAGCAGGTGAAGTAGCAGATGACAAAAGATTGAAATTAATTAATCTGTTAAAGAATACAAATATAAATGTAATTTATGTAGGTTTTGTTGTACATCTTGGGTAATGAGACTAGAAACTTTTATGTCCCACACCAGGTAAAATTTTAATAAAATCTGTCACTAACTTCAGGGAGAATTACTCAACATTCCATCACTTATKTTACAGCTCCAGCTCTTGCATTAGGAGCACGAGTTACTTCTTTGCAAAGCAGCATATCCTTTCAGTTGAAAAGCAAGATACTCATAACCTGAGAGAACCTGGAGTTAATTTGTTGCCCGCTTCTCTTTTGCCTAACATAGTTGAGGAGACACAGGTGTGTAAACTGAGCAAGTGTGTAGTGAGGTAGTGATGTTAAAACTTCTCTATCAAGAGTTGGAGTTTTGTTCCTACAATTAGACTGAGATACAGTGCACAAAGAAAAACTTTCAGGAGTAGGAATTCATAAAGAAATGTTACTACTAGCTTCAGTTCTAAATTGATTTTCATATTCAGTGAAATAAGGTTTTATGTGTTTGCATCCCTTTGGGCTCCACGAGTTTCATAGAATTAACAGATTCTCAGTAGCCATTTATTGCATTTTTYGATGGGGGGGATGTGGTACCATTGTCTAATAAAGGCCATATGCAATCTTTGCAAATGAGCTCCACTGTCAAACTTAGCTGAACTTGATTTTCACTCATGCTTTGGTCTGTTGACATTACAGGAGCGCTGTAGAGGGGTCTTGCTCTACTTAAATATGGCCAGTTCTTGTTTTACATATTTTTKGCTTGCTTTGGACAACTTGTTTGCCTAGACTCATGGACTTTAACACCCTATTTTAAGTGTTTCTAAAGTATGGAAATGTGCTAAAATGATTTTTTTTGCTTTATACTGCCTGACTGAATTAAATAGGTTTCTTATTTGAAACATAGAAGGCCCCTATTAGCTGTAATTTTTTTTGACACTCTGAGACTGTCCCACTGCGTGGGCGGTGATTGACATAACCTATCAAAGTGGGAAATTTCTATGAATTGACTGGGTGCACCTACAGGGAACAATATTGGTTCATAAAGGGTTTAACCTTATTTAAAGTAACATGGACAGATTTGGATTGGAAACCAAACAATTTTTTGAATGGTAAAATATGGGGGAGATGTAATTTTAYTAGTAATTGTAATGACTAAAATGGTGGAACTTTCACAGGTGTTACTGTTATTAATGCTATTTTTTAAGGAGCACTGCATAAATATTTTTTAAGCTTATTCACTCCTTTATACCATGTGTTTAAGGTGGTTTTATTTTTTTAGACATTTTACTGTTTTCAAAACTAGCAGGGATATAAATAATTTGGTTTCTGTGAGGGACTTTAAAAAATAAAGAAGTGTCAAGCATGGAATAAATATGTAAATATTCAGTACTGGTTCTTGGGAGATCAAAATACACGGCATGTCACATCAGTAATTTTCAAACTAGGAGGAAATAAAGGGTTGGTTACATTGGTGTATGAAAGCTCTGTAAATTCAGTTAAACTTAAAAAAAGAAGTGTGTGTATATTGTGGTTTTTTGGTTTGGGWTTTTTTAATTAACGAATTTAGTTCTGTAACCCTTCAAAGCAAAGTAGTTCCTTTCATGGATAAATCCAGCATGAAATAACAGTTTAAAACTTAGGTGTTACTTGGTTTGCTCTTTAAAATGGGATTGCTACCAAAGTGTTCAATATTGCTTTTGATATCCGCCTAAAAAAAGAAATTTTCAGGTTATGTTTTTGATTGAAGCACTAGGAGGTGGCTAACTTTAGTTCAGATTACTGTGCTTATTTGATGAGAGGAACAGCAGGAGGGTGAGTGAGGCAGAAGAGATCTCCAGCGCAGCACGGACAAAGGCACAGTTTGTGTATGGGATAAGAGTGAGACAAGTTGTGTGGGTTTTTTTTTTTTCTTTGCTTCCATAATCTTTAGCTGCTGTGCAGTCTGGCAGTCTGCAGTGGTTGAGAGCCAGGTGCAGATGGACAGGTGTAGGAGATAGGTTATCAGCCAGCTCCTGCACTGGTCTCTAGTGCCATGTGGGCTTTCACCCTTTCCTTTCCTGCAGTTACTCCTTCATCAGCTGAGAGAATGTGTCTAGGCAGTGAAAGCAGAGGACTGCATGCAGCAACTTCCTGCTCAAGTGCCCCATGTCCAGATTGCTCATGATTAAGCAAATACAACAGCTCTGTTGTTTTGCTCTTCTTACATGTTTGTATTCCATCTGGGTTTTTGCAGTGCATTAGAGATGAGATCCCTGCAGTTGATGGACAGAGAATGAATCGTTTTTCCTTTTTTCCTCTTCATTGTCCTGTTGTCTGTGCAAGACTGGAGTGCCATACTCTTGGACTCCAGGAATKCTCAACTTTTGCCTGTGCTTTGCCTTCCAAGCGGCTGCTCATCCCATTCAGAAATTTCATCTGTGAGGTGGCAGGGAAATCCCAGAGAAGAGACAGTKTTTGACTGAACACCTACTTTGTTTATTGCTCCCTATAAGAGGGAAAATGCAGTCTTATCTACTGCAGGGCACCGAGTTGCAGTGCATGCATGACTCCTGTGCTCTGCAGCCACCGTACCTAAATGTTGCTATTTCATCTGATAAAGAGTGTACTCAAATTTCTGTACAGAATGAAGTGAACCRAAGTGTGTTAATTGTGGTGTAGACCCTTTATTAGTTGAACTTTTATACAAAGTGTACTTCAAAGTGATACAAAGTGTTACATTTCTTTTACAGATTAGAGATTTCTGTTAAGCGCTGGTTTATCCTTGTGCATATAAAGGTAGAAAACGTAAATAGACTGGCAGCGACCCATAATGCTGGAAGACAGTTCAGTGTTTACTCAGTTAATAGAAAGTTGCATAGAATTGTAGGTCTTTATGAAGGCATCTTCTACGTGGTAAAATCTCCCTGAYCTACCGTACTCCATCTGACAACAGTACGGGAGAAAGGCAAGGCTAGTACTGCTCCTTGTCAATACTATCCAGCACTTCTAAGGAAAGTGGCTGTAGAGAAGCACCATGCCAGAAACATCCAAGAGGGCAGCACATGGAAAATATCATTTGCAAGGCTACCCATTTCTATAAATTGTAGGAACTGTTTGCAACYGGGGTCTATTACTACATTACTTTACACAAACACCTAAGAACATTTCAGATAAAACCACTTTTGGCCGTCAAAATACATCACTATAGCAGGTATTTTGCTTGACTGTGCAACTCCCTTCTCTTCTATGCTGACAAGAAACTCCTGTATATGCAAGTTCCACATACTTGACTTAACCGCTTGCTCTGAGTTTTGTTTGTGAATCTCCCAGGCTTGGTACTATGACACCGTGTACCCACCGAACTGTGGATAAAGATTTAATCTCCTTTTAATTCTAATGCCATGTTAAATCCCTGCCATATGCTGGCAGCACACCAGTAAGCTGGCTGGTGGCACAGGCCAGTGCAGCCGCATCACTGATTTTTGGCTGAGGAAACAATCACACCACACTTACTTGTACTTCTTGTTCTCCCTCTTCCAGCTAAAAAAAAGAGCTAGAAGAAGCAACTCAAAATACAACAATTTGAAGAGCTACTGGTCCACTTGAGCAGCAGTTCCACTTGTGAGGAAATGGAACTGATTAAAGTGTGATTTAGTAAGAGAACAGTATCAGCAGTAATTCCATGCTGAAGCCCTCCTGTAATGCACTTTTAACAGAGGCTCTCATAYGATCATATGAAATATGATCATGACTAGGGAAGTAGAATTTCCAAGTGAATGTCTTTAACTTACATTAAGTCTAGTACAATATTTGGAGTCTTAGTTTTTGTGAAAAGGATTAACAGACTATTTGAAAGAAAAAAAAAATCCCTTGCTTCTGCCAACTGCTATTAAGGGCTGCATAATACATGAGACTGGAAAAGCAAGAAGTAGACTAAATATTAATGGGCTATTTAATGTCAGTCTAGTCAAGTGTAAGACAGGTCAAGTGATGATGATACTTCAGCAATGCCACCTTGTGAGGGGCTCATTAGCAAAGGAAAATCTGCAGTGCAGAATTGCTACCCAGAGGAATGGCATAAAGCTTGAAGTCACCAGAGGGACCTGATRCCATTAACTACTGTGTGCCTATTTAAAACATCTCTCAAAGTGCTTCTCTGCTGCTAAAGGAAACCCAAACTGACAGGCCATTCCAGCAGCCAGTGGGCCCAAAGTGTTGCCAAATTTCCACACTGGAAGTTCAGACTGTCAGAGCTCAATTGCACAGCAGAAAGTCCTTCCTTACCACCTAGGAYGTGTTTTCTCATGCAGTTTTGTGTCCATCACTTAGGGAAATGACAGCAGACCTAATGCTAAGTAAACATTAAAAAGACCCTAKTTCCCATCTTGAGGAATTTAGTCATAAATAAGTGGGTGAAGTTTCCGAAGCAAACAAATGCAGAGATCCCATTATGGGGAAAGCACAGAGCTAATAACTTGCTTTCTTTTGTGGTCAGAACAGAAAACATTGGGTTACTGCCCTCTGACTGAGGAAAGATGATCYAGGTCATTGAGTTCTAACACATTTCGAATAATTTTCTTCTTTATATTAGGCAAAGTAGATAAAGTCACATCACAACCACACTGTTACAGTACACAGAAAAGCACTAACTGAATCTAACAGCATGAARTCTGGTATTGCCAAAAAGCTTGAAAATCAGCGTGAATGCTGCAATAATGTCACGCAGAGCACAGACACAACTTGCTTGTTTAGAACACGAGAGTAACAGCACTCTTACTTTCTACCTATTGCTTTAAAACACACACTGATGTAAGTGAACTGACCACTGAACATTTAGTGTGAGTGAAGGTCTTCCCAAATTATAGCTACTGATTTACTGTTTCAGATTATTAAATATGGCTGCTTAAGAGATGTGCTATGTCATGAATTGGTGAGACCRCTACAGAGTCCCAAATATTCTCAATTACTTTGAATGTGGGTTTTTTGCCTGAGCAAACCCTCTTTTACAGAAAAGCTATTTATGTCAGTTTTTAAATAAGCAAGACCAGTTTTTAAATATGTAAGACCTGAACATGTGCACATCTGCCTCAGTGGTACTAAAGAAACAGCAAGTTAGAAAGATTCGTTAATGCCTGAAATTCAGACAGCTCTGACCACAAGCCTACACAGCGTAGACTATGTGCTAAAGAAGATTGCTGCCTCTCTCTTTGGTTATGCTATTAGTGATAAAAGCATTGCTCTGAGTGAAAGCAAGGCATGCACAGTAATGCAGTTGCTTTCTAAACTATAAAATTAACATATTTGGATCATTGAACCTGCACAGATTTTCCTGAGCCTTCAAAATTGATTTAACACATTTAGTAAACAGAAGGCCAGATTTCTCTATAGTTAGTCCACTGATGAGCTGAGGATATGGCTTAGTTATCCCACTGAAAACAACATGAACAGGCTGTGTAAGAAGWCTGGAGAAAGTGTTTGAACCATACAGATTTCTCATGCAGTGCTTACAGATAACCCCTCCTTGATTTGTGGATCTGTTAAAAAATCCTATTGCCAACTTTGAATCATCGAATCATCAAGGTTGGAAGAGACCAAGTTCCACTGTCAACTCAGAACTACCACTGTAACCCCTAAACCACGAAACCAACGCCCAGCACCGGATCCTGACAGCTCTTGAACACCTCCAGGGATAGTGACTCCACCAGCTCCCTGGGCAGCCTATTCCAATGCTTGACCAACCTAACAGTGAATTTTTTTTTCTAACATCTAATCTGAATCTCTCATCTCAGCACAAAGCCATTTCCTCTTGTCCTCTCACTGTAGGCACAGTAGTAGAGACCAGCCCTCACCTGGCTACACACACCTTTCGAGGAATTGTAGACAATGAAGAGGTCCTCCCGAGCCTCATCTTCTCTAGACTAAACAAACCCAGCTCTCTCAKCTGCTCCTCATAGGACAAGCTTTCTACACCTTTCATGAGCTTTGCTGCCCTTTTCTGGACATGCTTCAGCACTTCAATGTCCTTTTTTAAGTGAGGGGCCAAAACCAGACACAGGACTTGAGGTGTGGCCTCACCAGTGCCCAGTGCAGGGAGACAATCACTGCCAGTCTGTTACAGGCCAGGATGCCACTGGCCTTCTTGGCCACCTGAGCACACACATTGGCTCATATTTAGCCAGCTGTCAGCCAGCACCTCCACATCCCTTTCTGCTGAACAGCTTCAAGCCACTCTGCCCCCAGCCTGTAGCACTGCAATGTGTTCCTGCAACCCAAGAGCAGGACCCAGCACTTCACCTTATTGAACCKTGTGCAGTTGTCCTTGGCACATTGATTAAGTCTGTCCAGGTCTATCTGCAGAGCCTTCCTACCATCCAGCAGACCAACACTACCATCCAGCAGACCAACATTGCCATCCAGCTTGGTGCTGTCTGCAAATTCACTCAGGGCACACTCAATCCCCACATCCAGATCAACAATAAAGATGTTAAACAGGACTGACCCAAACACTGAGCCCTGGGGAACACCTCTGGTGACCAGCTGCCAAGTGGATTTAGCTCCATTCCTTACCACTCTCTGGACCTGACATCCAGCCAATTTTTTATCCATCGGAGAGTCCACCCAACCAAGCTGCAAGCAGCCAGTTTATCTAGGAGGATGCTGTGGAAGATAGTGTCAAATGTTTTACTGAAGTCTAGACAGAAAACATCCACAGCCTCTCCCTCATCTTCTAAGCAGGTCACTTAGTCATACATCAGATCAGTCAAGCAGGACCTGCCTTTCTTAAATCCATGCTGTCTGGGCTTGATCCCTYAGTGGTTCTGCATGTGCCACATAATGGCACCCAGGATGATCTCTTCCTCACCCAGAGCTGAGGTCAGGCTGACAGGCCTGTAGCTCCTCAGATCATCCTTCCAACCCTTCTTGTAGATGGGCGTTACATTTGCTAATCTCCAGGCAGCTAAAACTTCTACAGTTAAGCAGGACTGCTGACAGATGATTCAAAGCGTTTGGACAGGTACTTTTGTCAGTTCCATTACTCTGGGATGGATCCCATCAGGGCCCATAGACTTGTCAGTGCCTAACTGCCATAGCAGATCACTAACCATCTCCTTCTGGGTTATGGGGCCCTCACTCATCTACCCATCAACAACTTCCATCTCAGGGAGCTGGGAATCCTGAGAACAGCTGATCCTGATACTGAAGGCTGAGGCAAAGAAGGCATTAAGTACCTCTGCCTTTTCCTCAGCCTGTCACTTCACTATCCTCTGCATTTAACTAATGGCATAGTTGTGGTCAACATATTTATAYAAACTTCTTTTGGTTTTTTTTMACTGTAGTGGCCAAATCAAGCTGCAGCTGGGCTTTGGCCCTATTAAACTTCTTCCTACATGACGTTGTGACATCCTTATGTTTCTCCCAAGTTACCTGACCCTCCTTCCAGAGRTGTTATATTCTCTTTTTATCCCCTAAGTTCCAGCTTAAAGTTCTCTGTTTAATCATGCTGCTCTTTTCCCCTGACAACTTATCCTTCTACACATGGGGACAGGCCATTACTGAATATTTAACAATTCCTTTAAAAAGCACATCCAGCCTTCCTGGGCCCCTTTGCCCTTCAGGACTGACTTCCAAGAGACTTGGTCAACCAGTGTCCCAAACAGGCCAAAGTCTGCTTGCTGAAGTCAAGGCGGAAGTTCTGCTGGCGCCCCTCCTTATTTCACCCAGTAGAGAAACCCTTAGGTTTGCATCCATTCTGCCCAACATGGCCACAGACCACCACAGCACCCACCAGACCTTCCTTGCTCACAAACAACTGGGCCCCTCATCTGTTAGGCTCATTTACCAGCTGTGTTAGAAAGTTACCTTCCACACATTCCAGGAACCTCTAGGCTGCTTCCTCTCTGCTGCATTTCCAGCAGACAAGTGGCAAGTTGAAGTCACCCGTGAGTATGAGGGCTGGTGACTGTGAGGCTTCTGCCAGCAGCTTGTAGAACACCTCATCAGCCTGCTCCTGGCTGGGTGGTCTCTAACAGACTCCCACCATGACATCTGCTCTGCTGACCTTCCCCCTGATCTTTACCCAGAGGCACTCAACCTTGTAATCGTCATCAATTTCAATACAATCCAAACCCTCCCTACAGTACAGTGCTCTCTAACAACCTCTCCTGTTTTGCCTGTCTATTCTAAAGAGCTTATAGCCATTGTAGCACTCCAGTCATGAGAGTCATCCCACCATGTATCTGTGATGGAGATTACATCAAAACCTTCCTGCTGAACAATGGCTTCCAGCTTCTTCTCCTTGCTGCCCACACTGTGCATTGGTGTAGATGCACTTTAGCTGGGCCCCCATGACAGTCCTRCCACCCTAGTGATCCTCCCTTTTCTGAGGTGCATTTGATTGGTACATTTGCCTCCGGGGAAGTAGAGAATGGCTCCAACCAATCAATCTCTTTCTCAGATGCTCTAACATCCCTTAACCCTCCACCTCCTCTTTGAGTTGTACCACCAAGCAGAGCAGATCATTGACCTGCTCGCACTCACACAGATGTTGACTGWGTTACCCTCTCAAGTCAGTGCCAGGCACTGGCACTCCCTGCAGCCTGCTTGACCATAACACAGATGTCTGAAGCCCAAATGACTGTGCAAATATCCATCTCTTGTGGATATCAAGTAGCCTTAAACCTGCAACAAGAAAATTAAGGATACTCTAGGGATTTAGAAATGCTTTAAAGACATTGAGTACCAAATGGACTGGTCTTATGCTTAAAAGATCCTGTAGAAATACCTGATACTTTAAACATATAAAAGCTTCACATTTTTAAATAAGAAGCAGATCTATTCCCACAAACTCAAAGTTATTCACACATCTGTTTAAAAAGGTTTTAGATTATTCTACKACCTTGGGCTTTAGTATTTGTCTCTTAAGGGTGTATCAGCCTGGGAAATGAGAAGAAGCTCTAAAGCAATGGTCAACCTCACCCAAAGTTGTTAAATAGCAGAAGAATTACAATTTTAAGTGCTTGCTTTCCACCTTTGAAATAAGACCTTCTACAGACTACAAACAAACAAAATCTTATTAATTTCTATTACTGACTTACTAATTCTACAATTCACTTTTCCCCAATTAAGTACATSCCAAATGTCATTATGGATGGTCACTTTTGCTTTTTTTGCTTGAAACACAGAYACTTATAGGTTGTTTCCTTCCTGGTCCATAATAGTCCATATCTTTGACTTTAAAAGGCTATAGTTTTCAGGCTTGAAAGACTAAAGAGACAATAAATCAAGTCTCCTTMCCTTTTTTACAAAAACATCATTAGCTAAAAGTATGCTTGCCAGTTACTGGTTTTAATGACCAGTGTTCCTTCAGAGAAAAATATTCTGTTTGTTTTTATGGCCCCAAAACAAATTCAATCATAATTTAGATGTTAAAAGAAAACAAATAAATCAGGTATTATATAAAGAAAAATGCTTGCTGAGATTAGTACTATTTAGATAACTGTAACTTCCCTAGGTTTTCTTTTTGCACTCTCCAGTCGTGTCAAAGGACGGAAATTTGACTTCCTGCTTCCCTCTGTAGTAGTTAACCGACAGTCCTTCTGCAGCCCCTTCAGCAGCTCCATTAACTCCCGTTTTTCCAGCTCTGCCTGCTCCAGCTCCTGACGGTGCTGTCTCTCYGCAGCCATCAGAGACCGTACATCTGACATCATTCGTGACATCTGACTCTGAAATGCAAATACAAATTTACTGCAAGAAGCAAACTCTCTTCTAATGATGGTGCAATGAAGYCAAACTGGCCATGCACATAGGACGATGGAGTCTTAAGAATAAAGAACACTGAAATAATTTTTTGATAGCACAACAAACGTAAACAATTTGAGACACAATCCAGCATTCACCTTCTGGGATAGTCTTGTTCTAAAGATTACAATACATTCTTCAAAAAGTTTCTTTACGAAGTATGGTAAGCTGATTTACCCACTTGCTGCTTATATATTCTATTTCAAGAAACCAAACAAAACATACTTTTGGTTATGTTCAGATACATTCTTGAAAGATTTAATGCCAAATTCAGTGAAAATAGGAGTGTAAACTTTAAAGGACATCCATTGCTTTAAAAATCATTGTTCTGTCCTATAATAAAGACAGGATTAATAAAAGGTTAAGACAGCGTTGCTTGTTACTTGATGAAGTTTATGGTGTACCTTTCCAACCTTCTGACCACAGTCCAAATACCACTGTTGGCAGTAGGGCTGTATGTCAGCTCTGGACTAAGCCACWTTGGATAGCAATTAAAAATGGAGCTGGATATTTAACTATGTCCAATTTGTGATGTTTGCTCTACATGTGGACACTGAAATCAGTCTCAGATTGATCTGCTGACAAGGTTACATATGCACAGAACACTGATGGAGTAACCAGGTGAGCTCCAGTGAACCTGAAGCAGATAAACAACAGGAATACAGCATCCAGCCAGCTTCTTCACAGAGCTGACTAACCTGGCAAARCTTTGCTGGTTTTCCTTCCTTTACTTAATACCATTCTCCTTTGTATGAGACTATATTTACAAAATAAAAAATCACTTCTGGGAAAAGGAAAAAGCTAGACTGTTAAGAGAAGAAAAAAAAAAGCATATTATTTACCTTTAGTTCTTCAATTTCATTTTGCAGAATACTCTCTTTTTGGACCATATGCCTTCTCTGTGAATCTAACCTTGACTCCATCTCATGTTTTGCCTCCTCCACTCTGCAGATCATTTCTGACCTAAAAAGTTTATTTCTCCTTGTTAAGTCTTGTAGGCAGAGAAAATAATGATTTTTCAGATTGCAGAAAGCCTTCTTGCTGTCAAACAGCTTGGTCTAATTCCCATCAAACTCTACAGGATGCCTCTGTAGAGGCATGATTTATTAATGAAAAAGAAATGTCATGAAGAAGTGCATCATGCCCAGGGACACTRAAGTATCCATGAAGAGCCTGTAAAGGACAATTGTATCATATTCCTCAAGTAATTCCATGGGCTCAAGAATGTGTGTTTATGACTTTGAATGATTTTCTGCCGTTTGCCTACGCTAYGTGCTTGCTGAGTGTTACTAAAGGCAGCCAGGATAAGAAGTCTGAATCCTACAGTACTACTAAACATGTAAGTAAGTGAGACAGCCTGAGTGTGTGGACATGGTAGGCACTTACAGACCTGGTTCAGTGGTGGGCCTGGCACTGCTGGATTAACAGCTGGACTCAATGATCTTAGAGCTCTTTTCCAAACTAAAGGATTCCATGGTTCTGTGTAATCTTGTTCACTTTTATGAAGGACACTAAATAACTTTTATGAAGGACACTAATGCAGTAAATTGTTACAGTCTAGTAATTCAATGCTCCACAGCCAAAACCAGCTGGCACTAGATTAACCTTTTGAGTTCAGAAACCAGGCAGCAGAATTCCTTGTATCTCAACACATTTAAACCACATTTGAGCCTTACTTCACAGCAATGTTCAAAAGCACAACACTTAGGAGGTGAAAGATAGAAATGGGGAGGAGCACGAGAAAAAAAAAATAGTCCAACTGGAATATAATGAAAAGGGAAAGCTACAAAAAATACAAAAGATGAAAACAAGGATGCTAGTAAGAAGGGTCATATTGACTGTTATTAGTCCACCAGGACTTTAAAAAATATGAAAACTAGACTTTCAGTGGTTTAATCTACCTGTACCTGTCAAAATAATTACAGATTTTTATCTTCTGGATCTGTAAAAACATAAACTAAATAAAATTATTAAATATTGTGACTTTGTGTATATAACAGAYCAATGGAAAAATTAAATTGCCAACTTCAGTTTGCTTAAGTTTTTTGTCATTTTACATAATAAGCTCACAGTTCTGTTCAACTACAAACAATGGTATTTTATGATTCATAGTAACTTGGATAAAAAAAACTCCAACAATAAAAGAATYAAACCAGCAAGAATTTAAAGTCTATACTGACACACAATAAAATTCTGGCCCATTAGCTTTAAGTGATTAATGGATGATTTGACACACACCAGGATCCAGTGCTAGAATTCAAAATGCTTTATGCAGCCACTTTAAACCCAGCCCAACACAAACGTGAGAGAAACAGAAGATTCATACCGAAGCAGCTCCAGCTCGGTTCTTAGCTCTGCCACACAATTATGCTGTGTGTCCTCTGCACTGAGAATGGTGTAACCACAGCCATTGGGGCACTCCCGGCTCCGGTACTCACACACYGCCAGGTGCCCATCCAGGTTACGCCGCTCAATCTGCACCGTACAACCTGAGCAAGGAACAGCAAGGTAACACAGTCATTTACAACAAAAGCATTTTGATTCATTCCAAACAAAAACACTCAAGAAATGAAGCTGAGAAATGTATTTCCTTAGAAAATGAAATATGACAGTTACACATAGCTACTAATACAATGCTGTTAGATGATCTTATTAAGATACTTGTCCATTAACTGAAAATACTGAAAGGTTTGAAGGAGGCATTTTCGGTACAGTCTTCTACTGCTGGTCTGGCATTAAATCAGCTTCAGTAATGACAATGCTGATGCCAAGCTAAGGCACTGGCAGCTTGCCTGTGCTTCCATCACAGATTGCAATGACTGGAATTGATAATGAGCATGTGTAAAAAAATAGCATGCTATCAAACCTAGGGAAAAAGAAGTAAACAGAGATGTGGGTGAGATGGAATGCAATCTTGTTTTCTGGACAATTTGTTGGTCTTGTCCATCACGTACTAGGCCCCATAAATAACTTAGAACAAACATCTATTAATGAACATTTAATAACTAATACAAAGATAGAAATTCTAGGATACAAACTTTGYGGTTCTGTAGTGACTAAAGTAAAACATAAAGAATCAAAAATACACACTATGTAAATTATTGCTACATTTAACATGATAAACTCGAAGTCTGTAATCTTAATTTAAGAAGTCAAACTTCGTAAAKTTGTAGTTAAATCTTTGTGGCTCACTTTGTTGCAATACACATTTGCATTTAATTTGACGACAATATCAACTTAAGAAAACTGAAATAATGGAGTATTGAAACTTCCCAACAAACCATGTCAGAAAATGACAAAGGAGTTCCCTAGAAGAGCTTAACTAATAAATACAACAATTTGTAATTGAGGTACTCAAAACACACTATATGTATTCTTGGGAAAGAGCTCAAGAAAWCTTAGAGCCCTGACACTCCAAACCCCAGACACCCAGTGTAGTAACTCTATAATATAAACACTACTCTTTCTGTAGGAGGCAGAATAAGTGAATTAAGCATTTGCAGAAATCATTTACTTCTGAGAGAAATCATAACTTCCAGTAGAGCAGTTCTAGTGCCTTAATCATAATTAATTACAATGGCAGACTCAACTATGCCCTTAGCGTCATTAATTAGACACTAACTTTATCTAGGAACATACAACATTTCAAATTAAATCAATAGGGAAATTGTAACAGTATGGCTTTTTAGAGGCATTTTTCTTTCTCAGGAAGTGTAGCCTTGTTTTAAATAAAATGCTCAATATGAACAATTCTAACCAGAATTTTCCCTAGAATAATTCTTATTTCCAAGACATATGCTTGTCRAAACCATGAGACAGATTTGGCAGCTGCACATGCACCAGGAAACCAGCTGTTTTATAAATAAATTATGACCCTTAAGTGTTCTGCAGGGGCTACTGCACTCATTCAAATATCAGAACATTCACTCAGAATTGGAAAACMAACTCATAACTTGACAGAAAGCAAAACTAATGCACTACTACATTTTCACACATTTGAAATTCATCATATTCATTCTGGTTAGTTCTTGGATAAGAAACAGTTGCTAATAATCATGACTGCCATAAACTGGTAATATATTTTGTTCAAAAATACTGCTGTAAAGAGTAGCTTTGAATTTCTGTTTGAAAATAATGGCCATTACTGCAGTTCTGTTGACAGAAAAATGACAAACATGAGTTTTTGAAATACAAAGGATTCAACTTCTCTGAATGTTACTCACCAGCATTGGAGCAAGGTATCTGACTGTACTCACACTCCCTTTCATGCCTGTCTATAGACTCCAGAGAACAAATCATTTCACAGCCATACTCTCTGTTTCTGCAATGTAGCTGAAGACGGTTTAAATCATTTTTCATATATCTACATGCAAAGAAAAAATATCTGTTCTTAAATCTGGGAATATTATTTAAAAATCTGTATTTTCAACTTTTGGGAAAAGAAAGCCCATCTCCAGGAATTGTTAATTACAAACAGCATTACAGTATCTAGCTAAGACTGAAAAGAATAGATATAGAGTGTGTAGTGAYAGTTGTCAAAAATTGCTTTGCTTTGCTTGCTTTCTCTAAAATGAAGTGTGGAAAAGTTTGATGCTGTAAAGGGCATTCAGAATAATATCCAGACAGGTATCTAGAATCAGCAGTCAAGATATTAAAAGGTGGAGAACAAACTAAGTATTGTTTCAGTTTTGAAATTCAAACACGCTAAAAGTTAGTTATAATAAATAGAAAATGCTGATGCTTTCATGCAAGTGGTTGGTGTCTGCTACGAGCATACTGGATAAAGACAGTCTGAGTAATGACAGGAGAAGAAGCTGTGCAATCAAAACTGAGAAATCCTAAATTAATGTAATTTCAACATAYAGCAAGATTATTAGGTACCTGTAGAGAGGTCGTAGCAAAGACACATCAATCATTTGTCTGTCTTCAGGGCAGTTACTGTGATGAACAAGCCACCCATGGATGCAGGCAGTGCAGAAAGCGTGTTCACAAGGAGCCTGCAGTGGATCTTCTAACACATCTCGGCAGATGGAGCACAACAGCCCTTCATTGACATAGCCCACGAAGCGCTCAATATCATAACCCATGCTCCCCACAGCTTCAACCTGTTCAAAAACCCCCAACACACATAAATAAAACAGTCTTTGTGCTGAATCTGTATGGGGAGATCTAAAAAGAGGCCTGAAAGCAATTCTGAAAATATGGTGACCTTAATGTGTGTGAAAAAAGAAGTGAATGTGTGAATGTAAACTAATGCATATTTTGGTGACTTTCAGATTTAAGTGGGAATTTAAGAATTGTACTGCTCGATGTCAGAATCACAAATTTCTATCAAGATATTCTGAACTCTGAAACCAAAGACCTTAGAACAGTTGAGCTGYGCTTGTTCTGAACTCTGTTACTGAACATAACTGTAGCAGCCACTGTGAAACATACAGCTTCTATTTACATGAATACTACTTGGAGCAGAAAAATCACAGAAGGTCAAATGCAAATGTTTGCTTTCCATTTTAATACTTTTCATGTATTAGCTAACAAACTTACAAAACAGTGCTCTTCCCAACAATAGCTGTAACTTTCAGCTAGCAGATCCTGTACTTATGAACTCCACATCACTTAAGATGATGCTTTCATACTGAAAAAAATATTCTCTACTCACTGTAGACCTCCATTACAGAGGGAACAGCAAGAAATCTCCACATGCCTAAAGAAATACTTCATATTCAGGAAGTAAAAGAAGCCAAAACTGCAGCTAACTGTGAAATCATGAAGATCTACTATCGTCTCCTACATGATCTATTTTATAAAACTGAGAMGCTTTTAAATGGATTTGAAAGCTTTGCAAAGAAGAACCAATGGGCAACCTGCCTTCATCCAAATCCCATAATGAAAAGCCTTGTGGAATTTGGAAAGACTCCACAGAACTCGCTTAAAAGAGAAAGTTKTAGACTCCACAGTGTTCCTTAACATACAAAGTTACTTTTGTAAACCYACCGAGGCTCGTGAAAGAGGTTTTCATTAGTTGTGAGGTTTTCTAAATAAAAAAGGAAGATACCTTACCTKTGTAGATTTCACTACATATACATGTAGTTTGCCCAAACACTTCAGAAACAGTTTTCTGCTCAATAAGGCATGTAGTACTTCTTTCAGTTTCTCTTCAGTGCATTATTATGCCTATGAGAAAAATTAGAAAGAATAAGGCTCAGTAGTGTTTCCTAAGTTACTGAGTCCTATGTCTAACAAACCAGCTACTGAATAGATATTGTCTTAACAGCCCATTAAAACCAAGTTTTCCAAAGCAAGTCACTGAAAACGTACAATTTGACACAYGAGAATTGACTAAATTAGAGTGAAAATAATAATCAGTCTCTGCTTCAATTACTAYTGATGCAGGTATTTTTCACAAAACTGAACATTCTGTTGCTGGTCAATTTTGAAGCCAGTTTTGTTTGCAAGACTGAAGATAACTGAATTCAGTATAATTGAAAAATAGCAACTGAAATCCAGTAAAATTCTATTCCTCCAAAGGGTGGAAGTTTCTTATCTAACCTGTTCTTTTCTTGGCCATGATAGACAGCTCATTTTTAGAACAAAACTATTACAATCAGGTTTATTGTATTGACAAATATCATTGGTGTGATGTGTAGCATCATAAGTAAGGTTGTTCACTTAAAAAAAAAAAGATTATAAAAAAATGTCTTAAAATTACTTAAATTCCTTAAGTTGATACCTAGCATTTGCAAGGATCTCTAAGGACCAACATAAAGTTTTACTCTGAAGGGAAAAAAGAACTTTGCAATTCCTCTTCATGAATACAAGATAGAWCTGGAATTTAGAAGATCTTATATATCTGAGTATCAAAGAGTATCTTCACTAATTACAAAAAAGCTTGTGTTAAAAGGGTATTTGCTAAGATTAAAGTTAATAAAAGCTGTAATAAAAGCATACATAACACAAGMAATGCCTGTAATCCAAATACAAAACACATCATCTACTGCAAGATTTCCATRTTAAGTTTTGTTTCTACTGGCATGTTCATTGTGTAGCCAACACCACAGCTTGCACAGACGCTTAAGCAGGCTTCAGATTAGCTGGGATACCTACTAGCCACGTGACCTAGTGACAGCTTTGCCAGAGAAGCAGGAAGGGCAATCCAGAGAGATTCCTGACCACATACTTGGCAGATTTTACAAACTGCTTTCAGCTCTGTGCTTCTGTGGCTATTTGTCACCAAGACATGGAAGCTAAATTTACAATTATCTCGGATAATGCTGTTCCTTCAGCCACAAAATGGACATACTATGTCTTACAAGAATCTGCGTTAGAAAATATCATGGAGATATTTTACTTTCACACTGTTGTTTCCTTGTATGTTTTACAGGTCTTCTGCAAAGACAGGAAATTCAGGACTTTGCTAGTTCAGCATGAACAAAATTATCTTTTCAYAAAGCTGTGATTGTAAGGAAAGCAAGGACTACAAGGGAAAGTATAAAAAGCAGAGAACAGTGCTAACTATCAGTATGGAGAATGTGAAGTATTAGTTCTCAATATTGATGAAAACATTGAAACATACAGTACACTTATGCTGGAGGACTTAAACAGATTTGCTAACATGAACTGTAAGCCTAACACTTTGATTTGGTTTGGTGGATCCCAGAGGATTCTGCTTTTAGAAAACTTCCAAGGRCAGATAAGAGAAAAAACCTCCAAGTATTTTTACTGTCCTAGAGTTTCTGTTCTACTGGAACTGTGAATGCTGTGAGCTACATTTTGCAGAAACATTGCTAATCTCTAAGGATCAAGTCTTCAAGACACCCTTTGGCATATTTTAGCAAGTTTGAAGTCTCAGCAGAATGCAGGGAAGAGTATTTTTATCAAATGGGAAACAAAAACTTTATTTGTGTTTAACAGAGAAACGAAGCGCAAAACCACCAAATATATATGTTATATACATACRTATCTGTATATAAATACATACGTATGGAGGCATAAAGCCCCAACCACAACCGGAATTCAAATGAAGACTGGATGGGAACTTCGAGGCAAAAAACACAGTCAGGGGAGAKTCTTCAGCACATTTTCAAGATTCATGCTGGAGAAGCACCATCCCACACAGTGCCAGAACCCTTGTAACMATGGGTCTGGGACTTACGACAACAGCTATTACTGAAGCACCAGACCTTTTCCAGTACAAGTTTCCTGACCTGAAGAACCAGAGATGTTTTATCTTGTCAACTTCAAGAGATGCACCTTAGTCAAAAGATAAACAGGAKAGCAACAGATAAATGTCATGCACTCCAGCAGTACAGACCAATTTATTCAGTATTTCCACCACAAAATGAGATAATTTTCAGCTTCTGCTTACCCCCAGAAACTTCTTTCTTCCCCATTTGGCCTTAAAACTTATTTTCCTTTTTCTACTACAATTCAACAATTGTCACAGTCCTTTTTTGACTGCACCTATAAACTACATTWTGTTGAGAGATACCAATTGCTTAGCTTAAGCAAGTAACTTCTAAATAGAATGAGTCACTTAGAATTATAACATGGTGTGATTTAGATTGCCGTTTGCTTTTAAGATCTTGTTTTGCATACATAGCTTGGGTTGCTGGAAGCCTTAGGCTTGTGGACTTTTGCCTAGACATGCTTCTGGCTGAACAGAGKTAATTTCCTCAGTAATTTTCCCAGTAGCTGGTACAATGCTGTGTTTTGCCTTTAGAATGAGAAGAATGTTGCTGACACACTGATGTTTTAGTTGTTGCTAAGAAATGTTTATCCTAAGTCTAGGACTTTATTTTAGTTTCCCATGCTCTGCTTGGGAGCAGGTGCACAGAAGGAGCTCATGGTCATCAGCAGAAGCTGCAACACAACAAGATAAGAACGGATAATGGCTTGCCTGAATGGAGATCGAGAGAGAATCCAATAAACTGCTAGAAGACCCCAGACCAAAAACCACCACTGGACTAAAAGAACCATGTGAAGAGCATATGGGGAGGGTGCATGAATTGTAAGGGCATCATTYTGCAGGGATTTCTTTGTTTGGGAGAGAAAGCACATATACTATGACAGGCTATTTGCTTTTCATTTCTCCCTGCGGTTCTGAACAAGCAAAAATCTCCTCCAGACTTCAGAGGTATCAASCAATTTTTCAAYAGTTGTCATSCCATGTTGTTTGCCAGGCAGATGCACACCCAAAACCAGCCTTGAGCTGTGTACTTCACTGACCTCAGAGATTTGGTGTGGATATGATAACAGGGAGAGTACAGATGGGATGTAGTTCCCAATGACAGCCGCATCACACAGGTTGCTAAATGTCTGGCACTAAGCAAAGCTATTCCACTGTGAAAGTCAGGACACTGAGATGGGATTAATGACTTTCATTTTCTTCATCTACAGTAGCTTCTGATTTTTAAAAAATGCTTCTTTTCCATGTGACAAAACAAAGCACAATGTTTGAAGGGCTGGAGTGAACCATGAGAGAAACAACAGATGTGCATGGCTAAGACAGTATTTTCAGAAATGCTGGAGGAACAGAGTCTACGGCCCAAAGATGAGGGGACATTGAGATACAACATCGCTTCAGCCTTTATTTTCACAAAGACACACTGTGCTTTAAATCCTGCTATTACAGAAGCAGTAATTAAGGGTGTTCATGCCACTCTGACACTGTAAGCCACTTCAAGCCAGCATTAATGTCCAAAGGGCAGACTCACCCCTTCAACAGTRATGGTACAAGCGGTTTTGCAGGCACTTAATGCATCACTCCASGTAACTGACCTGTTTTAATACTGAATTGGGGAAAAAACATTAACTTTGGCAGCTTTTTTATAGTAGCCCAAGACTATCTATCCACTAATTAATGTGATCCAAATTCCTCTAGCTCCTCCTTTGAATCAGTCAGAATATTTAATTTGCCCCTTCCCTGAACTAGCTCATGCTACTTACCATAGACAACTACTCACTAATTAGATTTGCTGGGCTAGAATTTCTTGTAGATTGCTCAGTAAAAGCTCCAGGGACTGTGTAAGCAGGGCATGACCAGAGATAAGAAACTGCAGCCAGGGCAGAAAGGGAAGAAAAACAGCAGAAGTATCTATGGTCAAGGCTGCTGTGAAGCTACTCCCTCAACTCAGCTCCCCAGACTGGTACACTGTGGAGTCTCATGAACATTTGTATAAGAGAAAAGGAACAGAGGTGGGTAAGAATAAATGGACAGCAGYACCACCTTACACTGATGCAAACAACTAACTTTTTTCCAAAAATGTTTATATAATACATACAAAACAACTTAAGGCCTCTACCAGAAACTACACAACTACTATAACTATTTTGACAAAGAACATTCTTATACGACACTTGCTGTSCTGCWAAACCTACTMAGAACAGTGCCATCCATGAGCTGMCTTTCACARACCAGAGTSCAGAGAAGGGCAATGGAGCTGGTGAGCGATCTGAGCACAAGTCCTGTGAGGAGCGGCTGAGGGAGCTGGAGTTGCTCAGCCTGGACAAAAAGAGGCTCACAGGGCAGGAGGTTATAGCCAGGTGAAAGTTGGTCTCTTCTCCCAGACAACCAGCGAAGGATGAAAGGACATCGCCTCAAGCTGTGCCGGGAGAGGCCCGGGGGTTCAGGTTGGACATTAGGAAAAATTTCTTCACAGAAGGGGTGGTCAYACATTGGAAMGGGCTTGATRATCTCAGAGATCTTTTCCAACCTAACTGATTCTGTGACCACCTTCGAGGCTGTGCAGGGCGGGGCTCTGCTACCCTGAGGCAAATCCAGGGTCAGAGGAGCTCTCTTGCCCTTGGAGATATGGGAGGGGAAATTTTGTTCAGGTAGAAGGGGAAAAGCCTCCGGATACGGCTGGGAAGGCGCTTCGGGGAGGGTCAACGATCCCGGTCACAGAGCATAGAACTGGACTGGAAACATCTGGAGCAGCGACCCGACACCAAGAAACAGCACCTGCGTGGCCTCAAGCATCTCCAAACACCCTCACAGCTACACGCACCATTACCGCTCCCTTCCCCACACTCCGGCGATACCGCCGCCAGTTCGGCACAGGGCCCCCCTGACAAACGCCGCGGACAAACCCCGCGCAGCGCCCCCCGCCCCAGCCGAGCCCAGCCCATGCCCCGGTCCCGCTGCCGCCACCCGCCCTTCGCCCCTCGGCCCCGGCCCACTCGGGGCCGCGGCCCCTCTCACTCACCCCGCCCGCCGCCGCTCACTGTCGCGCAGCCGAGGCGCCCTTTACGGCCGCTCTCGCTTGACGGCGGCGTGGCGGGCAGCCGCTCCACCATGCTGTGTGTGGCACCGGGGCCGCGGGCCGGCAATGCGCATGGCAGCCCTTCCTGAGGGCGGGAAAAGCTCAGCGGCGCAGCCCGCCCGGCCCCSGCGCAGGCGCGTTCGTGGGGTGGGGATGGCTGCGCGGGGCGCATGCGCGGTGCGGCGGTGGGGCTGCCGGGAGTGCGCGGCGGGACAATTGAGCGCAGAGGCGGCACCGGCGGCGGGATTGCAGGTACGGGCGGATTGACTGGGGGGKCCTGGGGGGAGCGACCCTGGGAAAGACCTTAAAGATGATCTAGTTCCACCCCCCGCCCTGGGCAGGAACATCCTTCACTAGATCAGGTTGCTCAGAGCTTCATCCTGTCCTTGAACACTCCGGAGATGGGGCATCCGCAAGTTCTCTGAGCAACCTGTTCCTCACCACCCTCAGAGTGAAGAATTTCTTCCTCTTATCTAATCCAAGCCTGCTGTCTTTTAGTTTGAAGCCATTCCCCCTTGTCCTATTACGACATGGTCTTGTTAAAATTCTTTATAGCTACTTCTGGTCTGAAGTGATTTTTCACTAAYATTGATGTTCAAGGCGGTGCACTCGCTGCGTGCAAATCATCTGAATAAAAGCTGATGTTGTGTCACGTCTCTGTAGTTGCCCAGAGCCCCTGTTCTGCCTCATCATCGGTGCCGGCAGTGCCTCTTCAGACACTCGGGGAGCAGCCTATTCCGTTTGGGCTGAGATGGGTATTGCAGCTGTCTTTAGCAGAGCTCCGTGTATACCGTGTTCAGCTGGATGTGTAAAATTTTGAAACGTTCTTTGTATGTGTCTTTCATTTTTAATACATMTATTAATGTACCCTTAAGGACAAAAGTACAACAGAATTCAATGCCTGACAAACCAGATGTCTCACCCATGAGACGGTTTGGGCTGTGGTTTCATGGTGCACTGGGTTTGGTCAGGTCTGGCTGCTAATAAAAGGCAGCAGCAGTGCTTTTTGCATTGCTTGCAGCTGGTCCCTGCAGCCAGACCTAACTGTAAGGGAAGTACAACGTTCCCTGGTGTGTCAGTGCTGTCTCTGAGGAAAGGACATATTTGCATGTTCATTTATTTAGCTGTGGTGAGAAGCTGTTCCTTGCCCTTGCTACACCCACTGTGATCTCATCTAAAAGATCATCAGTGGTTTGTTGTACATCCATAATGTTCTATTGCGTAGTAGTGTAAAGGGACAAAATGTAAACYGTTTGGTTATTATATTTTTAAACATATTTTTGTTATATTTCATGAAAGCTTGTGTTTTAAAGGCAAAGATATATGTCTGCATCYAATATTTCATTTTAAACCCCACAAACCCTTAAGAGTCTTTGTACTTGCAAGTAGGTAATTCAGGTAATTATGAACTTAGTGAGTTATCTAGGGTAGTATCTTCAAATGTCTTAGTAATTTTCAAATCTCCTAATGACTTGTTTTTGTAGTTTAAGAYCACAAAATGACAGTGCAATGTCATTAATCATGGATATGTGCAATTTGTGCTTTCCCATTCCCCAGAACCAGAAATGCAGTGGACAGGGTTAGTGTAGCACTGCAGTGGTACTATGTGCAGTCCTCATGGAGGGCCGTGGGGTGTCCTGGGTTGTCTTCCCAAGCATCATTGTGCATTGTAGGGTTGGGTAGAGAACTCATTCAAATTCACATGGCACTTGAAGCTGTCTGTGCTCTTGAAATCTACTCCCCTGAAGGTTCTGGATGCCCTTGCAGTGATTTTTGCACTACAGATACTCCTGTTATCATAACCAAGCTACTCCCTTAGTGCATAGGGTTGACTAAAATTCATATGCTATCACTGTTGCCAGGTAGGCCTAAATTATGTGAACTGCTGTAGWCACAGTCAGAGGCTTCTTTCCTTGTACTTTTAATAACAGCCACAGTGGWAGTGACAACAGTTGAGACCTCTGAGATTTATGTCTAGTAACAGCATCATGCATATGGTAATTGTGCAGCTATGGGGGAGAGAGCAGTACTCCTGCTACCAGTGTCTGCATGTTTGTAAAGTGTTTTGGCAGTGCTCCGTTACTGCTGCAGTGCAAATCTTGGAAAGAATGGTGGCTGTGCCCCAGGAAGCCACTGGAGTGCAGAGCAGCACCAAAAAAGGTGCAGAAGCACACTGGCTGTAATAGCAGGATGCAAATGCGGATGTGCTTTTGAGATGGTACAGAAGTTTGATTCTCCAATCTGTATTATGATTTATTTTAACTTAGTGGCTGGGGGATTATTTAAAATAAATGTGTAAATGGAGAATTAAACCTGTAACTGTACCTGTAAGTTGGGTTTGCCTTCTTCATTTCAGCTGCTGTGTTATTCTTTTGGAGGTTTTTTTTTTGTTTGTTTTATTTCTATCTATACTACTTTGAAGCAGTAAGATTACAACTTGTTATTCTAGTGGTTGCAAAGTAAACTTTGTCATATTAACATTGGCATATGTTTGATTTTGTCCTAAGGTTGTTCAGGGGAATAATGTTCTTGCATTTTGAGGGARAACCTGTAATACATTCCTTCCACTATTTGAGTGGACATAACATGGAGCAGTAATATCAACTGTAATTTTCAGATAATTTTCTGCTGAATTCKAAYMTTATGGTGAATCTGAATGACCAATGTAATTGACTGTTTAATGCAAAATGCTGTTCCCAGGTATGAGACAAACCTTCAACATTCATTGTTCATTGTGTACTAATACTGGGCTTTACAAAATTATGTTTTAAGAGTTTGGAACAATAAGTTTTGCTTAAAAATGTCTTTCTTTTTATAAACTGGTGTTTGTTAAGTAGCCCTATACTGTGCATATCCAGAGCATGTATTGCTATTGGGAACTGCATTARTGGCTTTTTAAATGAGAAATGAGATGTTCAACTGCAGATTTTTGTAGTTGATCTTTCTTAGTACTTAAACAAAGCATTGCAACAATACTACTTTTTCTTAAATTTTATTATGMTTGTGAATTAATATTGTTATTTGAAGATCTTTTATCCTTTCTTATTTTTTGAAATAGTGCTTATGTTGTCATCTATGGATATATTTTTATATGTAAAATTTATCCTGACTACAGTTGCCTTTATTTGCCTCCTTCCTTCCTGTCTACCCTCCAGAGCAGCACAACCAGATATGAGGCGATCTGCAGCTCCAAGTCAAGTCCTAGGGAGTGCAGCCAAAAAGCCAAGGTTTATACCACCTAGAAAATGTGTTGCTGATTGTCTCAAGAATGAAACTAAGGAGATGGACCAAGAAATGAAGTTAAAGGAGGTAARCTGAACAGCGCACTAAAAAGTATTTTGCACAGTATTGTGATTAAAAGGTAACATCTGATCTYACCACAATCTATGCTTAAATAATCTATTCAGAACAGCTTTGCTCTCAGTACCTTTCATCTTGCTTCTCAGGTTAAGTTTCTCCAACTCTGTGGAGCAGATGCAGAAAAATGKTTTTCAAATAAATAAAAATAATCAGTATTGAGCCCAAATGCAATTCTCAAGTGTAAAGGAGGTAGGGATTGCATCTTGGTATGGGCTTTATTGGATTTTTTTGGGGGAAAAGCAATTAAAAACCCAGGATAGTTTTAATAAAGTGTCAGTACATTGAGTTRCAGTTCTGCTGCAAGGAAATTTGTCTGAAACATTTAATCTTGACACAAAAAAGCATCACAATTTTTATATTTATCTACAGAAGWCTTGTATTAAATTCATAAACTATTTGCAGAAGTATTTGGTATTGTGTGCATACACTTTTTGTTGTGATGCATATAATTTTGTAGAGATGTATATATTTATGTAGAAAGTTTGATAATAACAATATGTCTTGAGATCCCTTCTTGTTGCTCTTTTCTCTGTTTCTCTTCACCTTCATGAAGGAAATGCTATTGTGARCTTATTTCTCTTTTGCAGATAAATGAGAAAGAGAGAAGTGCTTCATTGCTTTCTAAAATAAATGTCCAGAATCAAAATGAGAATTTTACACAGTCTATGGAGTCAACTGGAAAAATAAAGACAAAATCATGTTTCAACATTSACAAGTGTAGCAAAGTGGAAAGGAAAACGCTAAATGTGCCCAAAGCTGGTAAGGTCTTTCTTATTTACTACCATGTATCATAAGAGAAATTTAAAGCTTATGAATGATACACTGCATATACTGAACTACTATGAAGCGAGTTGATAATGCTGCTATTCAGGTTTGTATCTTCCAGAAGAGCATTGCRGTCAACTCACTCTAATCTACAGTTGGAGAAATTAAAGTATTGTGATGTTTTAAATAGTGGGRAAATACTGTAATTTGGAGACTTTGCTGACTTCATGCAAAGAAAGTTAACCACTCTGAATGGATTCGGGTTTTTTCAGAATTCATGAGGGTTTCTTTTCTTTGGTGGCTCCAGTGGGCACTCAAGGTTTTAGTCAACTCTAGCCAGAGAGCAGAACTGGCTTTGCTCATTTGTGGGTGTGCACTTCATCAGTTGTGCCCTGGTAATGAATATTACTCTTAAAGCTAGCCACTGCAAAGATAGTGAAGTGTCTGAACTGTGGCAAGGGCATTTGGATGGACCTGAACAACATTGAGGGGTTAGATGTCTTCATGTCCCATGTGCCTGGACCACAGATGCAGCAGAGTTCTGTGTTGTGTGAATGCAAGTGTATGTCCTCAGGAGCCAAGTACATCTTGAAAGCCTTGCACTTGAACTAGGTTACTAACTTGATGGATGAAAATTGCTCCTTTTGGAGCCAGCTCAGGCATTTTAACACCTGTCTTACAGTTATCTCACTGTTGTTTTTTTCATAATTGATTATGTTATTTGAAGTGTTATGCTTCCCTATAGGTACATCTGCAAAAATTTGWATCTGCTAGTTCTGCTTAGCAGTGCACTTGAAAGATGAATAATGTATTTGTTTCCAAAATAATCTGGGAAATCACCAGTCATTCCATTAAAAAATGTTGTGAGGGGGAGAAGATACTAAATGTCTTTTCAGTATCATGACTTCTGAATGCAGCTGGTGTCAGTCTTCAGTGATGACTTTAGAAAAAAAATCA